TCCAGTTAAGAAGAGTAAATATGTTCAAAACCATCAGAGATTATTTCCTCACCCACACACTATTTTTTTTTTTTTCTTTCATTTAAATGTCAAATTTACATCATGTCATTTCAACAAATATTTTTTATTAAAATACATTCATGGTCATTAAAAATAAAAATTTGTATTTCTTTTTTAATATTTCATTTTATTTCTTGCTTACCAATATACAGTGCTGTTCAATAAAAGTGACTCACCTGATTTTTTTTTTTACTAAATGTTCTCTTCTCCGATGAAACGAAAGTTGAGCTAAATTCAAAGGATAAGCGATGTAAAATCCGAGGAAGAAGCTTTTAAAGCTCTTTGAAGTTAGCAGTAAGTACTGTCAAGCATCCGTTCAGTATAATGTTCTGGGGATGCTTTTCTTTTCTTTATAAAGTACAGGCTCTCGAGAAAGCAGTTGAGCAACATGCTCCATAAGTTTTCTGTGGGGTTGAGGTCAGGAGATTGGGGCGGCCATGTCATAACACTCACCTGCTTCTCATCAAAGTATTCCTTCATCAATTTTGATTTGTGACAGGGAGCATTATCCTGCATAAAAATGAGCTTGGTGGGGTCAATTTGCACCCTTTCAGCAGAAGGGAGCAGACAAGACTCTAAAATTCTCTTGTACTGCTTGCTCCCGAGGGTCTTTTCAATAGGTTTTAAGAAACCAGTTCCATGAAAAGAAAAGTATCCCCAGAACATTATACTGAACGGATGCTTGACAGTACTTACTGCTAAATTCAAAGAGCTTTCAAAGCTTCTTCGGATTTTAGATCACTTATCCTTTGAATTTAGCTCAACTTTTGTTTTATCGAACAGCACTGTATATATAATTGTCTTCTTTTAATTATTTTTTTTGTTTGCATTTTTGTTGTCATGTATGTTGGTTTAGAAAAGGAGATAATGGAAAAAAATAGGTCAGATTTACATTTTGGCAAGATTTGATAGCAGTACTCTCAAGAACTTTCTATTTTCTCTTTTAATAAATGTGGTATTCTTTAGATCAAAATATGACATGCATTTGATAAGTTGTTAAAGGAGCTTATACATAACAATTTATCAAATTCATTAGTCATACATTGAAATAAGTTCAACCACAACTTTGATCTAAACAATGCCAAGCATTAAATGAGAAAATAACAAAGGGCTTACAGCCATCAATTCCAAAGGTTACAAATCGGTTTTGCAAGTCCATCAGAAAATGTCAAGGATGTAAATCAACAAGGTCAAATATGTTTTTTTTTGGGGGGGGGGGGCATCACTTTCTTGCAGAAACTAGAATTTCCTGCATTTTTGTAACAGATTCATTTTGGTTTACTTAAATTGCGTATCTTTTATTTTGTGATACATTCAAACAAACATAACAGAAATTCTCTATCAGCCGTTTACCAACCTTATATCAATGACACTCCTGTTAAAACTGTCAATTCTAGCAAATAGAAAACTATCCATATAAATCATTTGAATTTCCTGTTGTTATTTCATCGAAACAGAGCTTGATCCTACTTAGTCATCATTTGCACTGAAATACCAATTTTGAGTTGCATTGATATGCTACTTTGTTTTGAAAATGTTGATAGAAACTAAACCTGAAATGTTGGTTTATAATACAAATGTTAGGGACTAACTAGCACTTGGTATTATTTCCAAACCAGATAGTAGCATAAAAATACAATCTGTTTTGTGACATATTTTATGTTTTTTTTTTTTTGTTTTTTTGGTGGGAGTCATTTAGTATATTCTGTATAGCAGAGTATCCAATCAAAACCAAAATTGTGGCACCCATACAAACCACTATCAGCATCTTTATAATCACTTATTTTCAGTAAATGGCAATTTCCTGTTTTCCCCCAGAAGGGGCCAGCATAGCCAGGCAACAATGCCATAGACTCAATGTTTCCTTGTAGGGAAATGGCTGACATTCATTACCAGTACTGCTTTCAGTTGAAATTTGTAAAATCTTACTTTTAAAACCATTTTTCAGGAAAATAGGTTTCACAAGTCCAGTAGCTGTTTTTGCTCTTTCCAGTAATGATGGAGGCTTTCCTTCCTAACCTGTTCTTTGAAGTAGTGTGAAAAGTCAACATCTTGATTCTGGCATTTTCTCTTTGAGTTACATATGCTATGCTGTTTTAGCTGTTGCAAGTCCTCAAGTGATGATGTTTCTGTTATTTGGTACGGTCCTTTAAGATTCTGTAGTGCCAGTTCACAAGGTTTGAAGGATGGTCCAAGACTTCATTCACTCGAAACCATTTTAACTATGGATCTGAGAAAGCAGTTGTACACAGCTGACAATTTAGATATTTGGTATAGATATCATGAATGGTGTCAAAGTGCCATTACTGTAAAGTTTGGTAAAAGGGGTATTCTAGGTAGTATCTACCAATTTTTTCTTTTAATCATTGTCATAACAACAAAAAAATGAAATTAAAAATGTGAGGACGATGCTTAGTGGGACAAAAAAGGAAGTTTTTTTTTTAAGATTATTTTTTTAATTAATTTTTTTTCTTTTGGATAACAAAAAAAAAAAAAAAAATTGTGCTATCTTTTCAAAATCTGAGATTACTGTCGTGACACTATTACTGGTAAATAATAGAGCTTTTGGATAGAATGAATGATATACCGACAGATATCTGGTAAATAAGAAGTCTTTTGAATAGAATGAACGATATACCAATAAACCATCGTGGGAACGATTGAAGATTTTATTTCTCAAAAAGCCGAAATTTCTCAAGAACCAGACGGCTAGCTAAAAACAACACTTAATTTTACCACAGAGCCAGATGATAATATTCTGACAGGTGATGGATGATCACCAGCTAAAAGTGCTGTCCGAGAAAACAATTGGAGTGAGTCAGATAAGATTTAAAATCATAATTCAGAGATAAGGGAAATTTTTCTGTGTAGAGAATATCCCTGACAGGACCCAAAAGGAAAAAGCCATCTGGTTTGTGTTTCAATTTTGGACAAGGAAGATGTAAAACTGATAAGGGAAATTTTTCTGTGTAGGCGACAAGTTTAAAATAATAATTTTTGATTAACGAACTTGGGAATTAACTTCACCTGACAGTTGAGGACCATTGGTCAGAGGGTGGCCGAGATAGCAGGTGCAGATGAGACATCGAGGAAGGTGGAGGAGCTATCCATGCCCACTGAGGAGTATTAGTGGGAGATACTAATAAGAAAAGGAGGAAGTTATGGGGCAGATTAATGCCTATAACCATCACCCGTGGAAGCGGGGAATCTCCCAAATTAGGAAGTAATTAATTCTCAGAAGCCAGACAATGGAGAAAGAGTTCTTTATAACAGGTAGAGAAGATACTGAATACCCAGCCACATCATACGCCCCCATGCCAGTATGGCGAATGTCAATAAACACAAATGCCTTGAAGCAAGAAGAGCAGATGGTTCCAGCCACTAGATAAAAGACACCCAACTTGACTGCCTGCTGAGGACAACCTCTGGCACCAGCCTTGTGTCAAACTCCACCAATCAGCAAAGTGTCATATCTCCCTTAAGAAGCAGATTGGGTTGATAATTGCCTGTATGTGAACTACTAGTCTTTGACAACAAACCAGCCAACTGTTTTATGAAGGACCTTACATAAAAATAGTATTTATTTTTGTTATTCAATTTCTTTCTTTCTTTGTGTCTTCATCCTACTTGGACCAGCCCAATATGAAGATACTCGATGACGATTTGATTTTGGCTGACCTTATGTTCAATGTGGGATAAGGCAAGTCCTGGATCAAAACGATCACTTATTCGATCAGCTGCAGGTATTGGATATTCGGACAACCAGGGAGGGACTTGAGGGTGACACTGTAATTATAAGGTGTTGTCTTCTTGTCACAAAGTTAAAACTATAACATTTTCATGAAACAAAAGAAAAGGATTTTATTTTTACAATTACCCCACAAAAAATGTTAACATATTCCTAATCAAAAAAATATTTAGGGTTAAAAATGAGGTTAACTATAAAAGAACTAATGCATAAGAAAGGTTTGTTTTTTGTTCGAATCTTGTTTTATTTGTTTTGCGTAGATATTATGTTAAAGGAATCAAAAATGAAAAACATTAAATATACAATCTTCTTTTTTGTAATGATAGGTGCATAATTTCTTGATATTACCGCTTTTAAAAAACATTTAAAAAAAAACTGTTTTTCTTGAAATTCAAAGTAGAACCTTTCAAAAAAAAAAAAAAAAAAGAAACATTTAACTGAAAATTTAAAAAAAAATCTAAAATTAAAAAAAAAAGAAGTAAAATTTATATTTGCGAAAAGAAATGATAATGTAAACTGATATTAAAAAGATTAAATTAAAATAATAAAAAATGTAAAATTTAAAAATTATTTCAATGATAATGTAAACTTAAATTAAAAAAAAAAAAATTAAAAAAAAGAAGTAAAATTTATATTTTCTATAAGAAATGATAATGTAAACTGATATTAAATTAAAATGATGAAAAATGTAAAATTTAAAAATTATTTCAATGATAATGTAAACTTAAATTAAAAAAAAAAAAAAAAATCTAAAATTAAAATGAAAAAGTTTAAAATTTAAAAACTCATTATTTTCTGTGATAATGGATATATAAAAACATAACAGCAAAAATCTGAAAAAAAAATTTGAATCAAATCAAAAACAAAAAAATTTAATAGGTAAATAAAAAGATATAAAAATGCTTACCCTTTTGCATTCTTTTTGATTTAAAAAAGAAAAAAATTATTGTTTTTCTCTGCATTTCATATAACATTAATTAGTGCTTGCTTTGTTTTTTGAAAGTAGCAACAGTCAATATTCAAAATGAATTTATCAACAGAAACCTCCAATACCATAAGAAAATCCATGAAAAACTGTTCCCAAAGCAGAAAAGGGTAATATAAAATGATTATCCCTGAAAAGTAAAAATGTTTTATTTAAATCATTGTTTAATCATAGATCAAGACCAAAATATAGTGATTTGGGGTTTTTTTAAAGAAAAGAAAAAGAAAGAAAAATAAAGAAAAGAAAAAGAAAGAAAAATAAAGAAAAGAAAAGAAAAATAAAGAAAAATAAAGGAAAGAAAAATAAAGAAAAGAAAAAGAAAGAAAAATAAAGAAAAGAAAAGAAAAAGAAAGAAAAATAAAGAAAAGAAAAGAAAAAGAAAGAAAAATAAAGAAAAGAAAAGAAAAATAAAGAAAAATAAAGAAAAAGAAAGAAAAATAAAGAAAAGAAAAAGAAAGAAAAATAAAGAAAAGAAAAAGAAAGAAAAATAAAGAAAAGAAAAAGAAAGAAAAATAAAGAAAAGAAAAAGAAAGAAAAAGAAAGAAAAATAAAGAAAAAGGAAAAAGAAAAATAAGAAAAAATAAAGAAGAAAAAAGAATAAGAAAAGAAAGAAAAAGAAAAATAAAGAAAAGAAAAAATAAAGAAAAATAAGAAAAAAGAAAAAAGAAAAGAAAAATGAAAAAAATAAAGAAAAATAAGAAAAAAGAAAAGAAAAAGAAAGAAAAATGAAAAAAAAAAAGAAAAAAGGAAAAAGAAAAATAAGAAAAAATAAAGAAAAGAAAAAAGAATAAGAAAAGAAAAAGAAAGAAAAAAAGAAAAAAGGAAAATAAAGAAAAAATAAAGAAAAAATAAAGAAAAGAAAAAATAAAAGAAAAAGAAAAAAAAGAAAAATATAGAAAAGAAAAGAGAAATTGTCATTGAAATTGTTTCCTTTATAATTTTGTTCAAAGATATATATATATTCTATCTTGTTCATCTTCTAAATAAATAAAAGGCAAATTCTGTCTGTTTGACTGAAATTCCTCTAGCTCAGGCCACATTTACTTTAAATAGATATATTATACCATTGTGTAATCAGGTTGACTTTGACTGCCCTTCATCTTGTGTTTGAACATCCAGCATTGGGATTTGTGCCTGGATGAGGGAGAAACAGTTAAGAATCCAACCGAAAAAAAAATAGTGATTTTAAAATTTTTTAATTTATATTGAATTTAAAGTAACAAAAACTTTATAAATTTAAAAAATTTTGTTTTAAATCCAGTTTAAACTATCTCCAAAACTTTATGAATTGAGGAAATCAATTTTATTTCTTCAAAATGCCAAGGAATCAGAATTAAATAAACTTTTTGACCAACCCTATACATATATATATATATAGAAAAATAAATATAAAAGTAGACATTGAAGTCAAAACCCAGAGTTGACATTCTGTTTCATTCTAAATACAATCATCAATGTCAAATTTGAAATTTAGATTGAAAAATTATTGTGAAAACTATGCAAAAGAAATTAAAATTAAAAAAAAAAAAATTCTCTTTGGGAATGATTATCATAAATCAGTTAAACAGTTGAAAATTGTTATACAACTTGACAACACTTGAGGAAAAAAAAAAAATCTCCCAAGTGATATGTTGACTTACACACCAGATATAACATGCAAACTTTTGGAATGACAAAAAAAAAAATCATTTCCCTTAACACAGATATTAAAATTTAAAACTATAAAATAAAACAGTTTAAACAAATGAACATGACAATCAGTTTGTTTACTGTACACAAGTTGTTACCAAAAATGACAGCAGCACAGTGTAATAATGATAATAGCCTATTCAAATACTATTACAGGTACACAAACTCTTATCCACAATTCTGAAAACCCAGAGAAACCAAGCATCTTTCCATAGGTGAGGTCTGCATGCCAAAGTTTGGCACTAAATGTGAGCTACATTAAAACGCCTGGTAGAGAGGATTGGAAACTTATTTGAAAACAGCCTTTGTTCAACCCAAATAGATTTAGATGTGTCGTAAGTGTTTGCAATGATCAGATGTACTACTTCTATGCTTGGATATTTTGTTAAACATTCTTTTTTTTTTTTTTTTTAACTTGAAAACTATAAAAATGGTCAATTATATATATATATATATATATATATATATGAGAATTTGGACAATAATCGCATTTTAAGGCACGTTCTACCGAAGAAAACTGACAAGGTACTTTTACTTTTTTTATTATGTTTTTCTTGTATACATACAAATTTTTCTTTTCTGGTTTTAATGTAGAAATTTTCAGTGTATCAATGTACAAATCAAAAGTAAATGGCGACTGTCAGTTTCACACTTGAACAAGATCTTCAGGCCATATATATATATATATATATATATATATATATATATATATATATATATATATATATATGAGTAAACCTGGTTTCATTCAGAAATTCTCCTATGGTCAATAAAGGTTTTTGACTTGAAGACCATGAAAATGAAACTGTAGATAATAAAAAAAGACAAAAAACTAATCAATAAAGTTATAGATTTTCTTAAATATTATGGCTTCATTTTTGGACTTTGAATGAGAGAAAATGATAAAAAAAAGCTGTTGGTTTCCCTAGAAGTAATAATCTCATGCATTACAGAAATAGGTCATCAGGGATTAAAATTATAAAGATAAAAAGTAAAAGATTTGTAATTTATTGCATTAAATTCTACATATAATTCAGTGATAATTATTTAATCTTTGACAGGGATAATTCTCTCATGCCTTTCAACATCAGCATACAATAACTATAGATGGGATTCAAGGGCTTTGCAACAGTTCACCATTTACGAAAAATTATCCAAGTTCACAGAACCGGTTCTTAAATTCCATCACCCCTGACATGCCACTAACAAGAAAGACTGAGAGAGAGAACTATTGGTTCCTAATTTCACAAACAAAAGAATTTGGTATGTAGAAGAAGAGAGAAGCCATTTCTAAAATATTTGAATCTCCCTACTGAATAATACACATTGGGGTATAAAGTCCACATGAATGCTACTTGAAGTCACATTTGATAATGGACAACAGAAATTTGTGTTGTATTCACTGTTGTGTGTTTCTAAGAATTTTAATAGTATCTGAAACAAAAGTTAAGATGACAAGACAAAGTGGAAATTTTTTTTTTTAATCAAAGACGCATTCTGACATTATTTGGCAGTGGCAAATAGAAAGAAAAGGGTTAACCCAGAAACACAGCTAGGAACGAGACAAGAAGGGTTAACAATAGAATGATGGGAGTGATGGAACTAATTTCAACTCAATTTAAAATCAAAGTTATCAATATCCGTGAATACATAAACAAAATGTAATGAATCGGTGTTAATTTTTAAATTTAGCATTAAAAATTAAATTAATTAAATTAAAAATCCTTAGTAGATAATATAATTCAGAATTCATCTTTTCTGGAACTTTCAATTATTTTGTTGCAAATAAATAAAGTGGTATTTTTTTTTTATTTACTTTTATTCATTTAAAGCTGAGCCAATAAAAATACAATGTTCTTTGTATCAAGAACAGTAGATTGCTTAGTTGCTTCTTTTTTTTTTTTTGTAAAAAAAACTCTTGTTCAAAAGAAGCCATTATTGATCAAAATTTAAGAAAATCAATAAATTAAATTTTTTATTTCATTTGAAAACTTCACAGATTTATTGAAATTTAAATCTGTGTACTGATGATTTCAAAGATTTCATGTTCATAAATAAAGAACTCTATTACAAATTACAATGTAAAAAAAAATTGAACAGTTTCAAAACAAGACATGAGGTTTTGAAATTAGTTCCGAGTTGAAAATAATTCTGAACCTCAATGATGGACAGAATGAGAGAATGAAGGAAGATTTCTCTTTTTCGAAAGAGAAAAGCTTAATTCTCTAAAACCAGAAAAATTACTTGAGGCAATATTACCACAAGAAGCCATGTGGTGATCTTTAAGCTGACAACTGATTAATGACCCAGCTCCAAAGTATTGGTTACAAAAACACAATATAAGTATGACAGATAAGATTTGATCTTTGAATAGAAGTTCTTTGTGTAACCTAAGGTATTTGGAGTGCAATGACCCTGGCAGAATTGGAGGAAAGGCTGACCAGAGAACCACCAGGTAAATTTGATTTTTAAGCAAAACCAGGCTGAGAAAATTTCACTTACACAAAATTTCAAATGATAATATTAATTAATGACCATAAGTTAGGCAATGCCAAGTGGTGAGGAGCCAGATTGTTTGAAGGGTAGCCAAGGTGGCAGGCACAGGTGAAATATCAAGAGAGGCAGAGAAATTGCCCAAGCCCATTGGTAAGTATTGGTGTGAGGTACCAAAATAAGAAGGAGGCATGGTGGAGTAACGGATAGCAGCTTGGATTGAGGAATCGGAGAGCCGAGTTCGAATTCCAGTCAAATCCATTACATTCACTTACATGCTAATACCCTTGGTAAAGGTGTAAATCCTCTTTCTTCTCCCTCCAGCTATGGGTAAAATAGCAGGACATACCGGGTTCTATAGCCTTGGATGGCAACTGGTTTAGAAGGAAAACTCTGAATTCAAAACCTGCTCTTCGATGAGGGTGAATGGAGTCTCTCTGAGCCTTGGTTGGCAATCCATTTAGTGATGGTGCCACGATAAAAAAAACACCCTTGATAGCCCTAGCAAAGCATCAAGAATTCAGCTATTTGACAAGATTATGAACTACACCAATCAAAGTATTAGTGAGTTCAATCTCGGCTGAGGCCGCAAGATGATGATGAAGAAGGAGGAAATTATCAGGACAGATCGATACCTGTGACCACAGGAAAAGGGATCTCCCCAAATCTGGAGATGTCATTAATTTTCCAGAGCCAGACAACAAAAGGGCTCTTGTTGGAAGATAGGGGGAAACATCTAGTCACCTAACCACATTGGACCACATGCCAGTTTTGGTGGATGTCAAATGCAAGAAATCGAAGTGACTGAGAGACAGTTGTTTTAGACACCAGATAAGAGACAACCTCACATGACTTCTTGCCTGAAAGAAACCTCTGATATAAGCCTTGTGCCAGAGGCCTTGTCCAGACATAGCTAAACCAGCCAAAGTGTTGAGTTTAACTTACGAAGCAGGAAGGGTTGATATTTTGCCGCATGAAGAACTCATTTTTAATATCAAGAATTCACCAATTCCTGTACAAAGTTCGTAGAGATAAAGACATTTTCTTTTACTTAAATTATTTTTTTTTTTTTTTCACTTGTGACTCTGCCTGGATCAACCTAATACAACAATTCCTGTCAACGATTTGATCTTTACCAGCCTTATGGTCAAAACCAAACACAACATGGTATAAAACAAGGCTTGGATCAAAGCAGTCAACTCATTGATCAGCCATAAGGATTTGACATCAGACGGACCAACCGAAAAGAAGGACACAGTGTTTCATCAGAGACAGCATATGCTCTCTTTGGCTTCTTCAGTTTGAGTGAAAGAAAGACAAAACTGTGTGAAGAAAATGTTTTGGGATCTCTAAGGATAAGTGGGTATCACAAATCAAACGGATTATGATAAGCTAGAGTAATCAATTTGAATTATGATACCCACTTATCCTCAGAGATCCCAAGATATTTCACCCCACTCCCTTTCAAGTTTTGCCTTTCAATCAAAAAGACCATGTGATTTCTTTGGTGAAATGAGTCTTTGATAAAAAAAAAAATTCCATTTTGTCTCTTCACCCTAATTCACTATTGTGTCAGAAGTGGGCACATGTTTTAAATGTTAAATATTATTTTTCCTTTTTTTTTTCTTATGTAAAGAAAACAAAAAAAAAGATTTGGCAAATTTTTGTAAAACCTACTCCCTAATTTCTTTCAAAAATATTTTCTAATAATGGCGTTTTCCTTTATAAAGTCTGAC